GGTCTCAACCGAGTTCGGCCAAAGCGGTTTTACGTATATCAGCTGTATGTCACGTGACAAGGTTAAATTAGAAAAAAATATGTTCGGATACAAAGATCGTATAAGTTCAACGATATACGGAAAATTTTTAACCAAGAAATTTATTATGCTTTCTTTAAGACAAATTTCTTAACCCAAATAGTGCTGAGAGCAACTTCCCCATGCACTGGAATTATATAAAATGTAGCCGTCTCTTTCAATACCTCGAGCATTTACACTATACACATTGATACATGTATAATGTAAAATTTCAGAAAAAATCAACAGCGCTCAACTTGCTCCGAGCACTTTTCGAAATAGTGGAGACAATAGCTACATGTGTACAAAATATGACAATTTATAGTTAAGCGGATATCGTTGAACTTTTATATTTTCGAAGGGTTGTGTATGTGTTTGTAGTACATTTGTGTATAAAAGTGCATGAGTAAAGCTCTATTAGAGGTCTATTCGTCATCAATTTAATAAGACTGTGAAATATGAATTAATGCATTCCAAAATATGGCTCAATTTTAGTTAGATCACGCTGATTTAGTTTTGAATTTCTCATTAACAAGTTGTAAAATAGATTGATCTGCGCCTCGAATGCAGAGACACTGCGTGTCACACTAGTCTATGACGTCATATTTGTCAGTACAGCAAGATCAAGTTAGCTTTAACTTTCCATTCAAATAGTAGTGAAATGACAAGGTAAGTCACGCATGAATTTAGATACAATAATTAGAAGAAATCACTGTGTGTAAAAGTGTATGAAATAGAAAATTATTGTTCATTCGCCGAGAGTCAATTGTGCAGTTTCACCGAGACGTCATTATCGATTTCCCAAAATTCTGCATAGATTGATCTACCTTTGGTGGTCCTTAACCTAGCTGCGAAAGAATATTACACACGACTTGTTTAGTGAAGGCTTTGAGATTCATTCCTAGAAGACCTGTTTTTCGCAGTTTCAAAAACTAGGCTAACTAGTGGAAATATGTGGTACATCAATTGAATCAATAGTTCACTTTAAGTGAGAATTTCATAAGTTTTGTGTTTGATACAATGACCCTGTAATATAAAATATAGTCCATATTTAAGGCCAAAGTAAACTCACATTTATATACAATTTGTCATTGGAATTGTATCGCACTGAATTGTCCATGTGTTTTTTTTATTTGCTCGATCATGACATGGGACACACAGTAGGAGTGACCGTTGGATGAGAATACTCAATCCTACATATCTTTGTAATATACTAGGTCATGGATTGACGTCATGCTTTCATGCACCCAATATGTTGGGGTGGGGGTGGGCGGTTGGAGTTGGGGAGGGGCTTATCGAAAGTGGGGGGGGGGAGCTAAACCAACAAAAAAGGTAAATCCTAATTTTCACTGACTATATAAGGGCTAAGCCACCTTCCCACCGGTCTCGAGGCATTACGTATCACGATTCTTTATATTGAACATCTATCGTTAGTACTTTTCTTTTTTTTAAAGTTTATAACGGGCTTAAAAGCATTCTCATAGAATTCTCTTCTAATTGTATTTTGCAAATGTACGCCTCTCTAAGATTCAAAAGTAAATAAACCAATGATGATATTTAAGCAATGAATCATAATTTTTTGAGTGATATAGTTTCAAAACTGCAACGGTTTGTGCAAACAAATTTGTTTGCACACACCGTTGCAGTTATGAAACTATATCACTCAAAAAATTATGATTCATTGCTTATATTTACATTTTTTAAAATTTCTATCTTAACTGCAAATGTGATTTCTATTTAAAAACCTATGTATTATCCTTCGTGTAAGCTACAGTTAATGGATCAGCCAACGTAACAGCTTCTGGTCAGTTTGAGAGTGATTTTTTTTAATTTTTGCTTGTGACGTTGCACTTCCTCAGCGTTCAACGATTATGACGTCAAAGAAGGATATGGAAATAACGAACAGTATTCAATCTCAACGTCCATTAAACAAATATACAAAATAAGAGCAGAGCAAACACGGACCTCCGAAACATCAGAGGTGGGATCAGGTGCCATGGAGGAGTAGCATCCCCTGCCGACCGGTCACACCCGCCGTGTGCTCTTTGTCATAATCAGGAAATAACGGAAAAAATCCGTGGTCAGTTCAGTGTATAAATAATGGACTAACAATTGGTATGAAAAACGTCAGTCAGCATTTCATTCAATGATAAATTGTATTTGCTGACAAGGTCATTGTATCGACCATAGAATTTACGAAATGATGACTTTAAACGAGACTGTTGATATTCTTGTTTCATCAACTTGCTTGTCAATAATTTACCTCGTTTAAGAAATTGTTCATACGTAGAGCATGCTCTTGCGTATCGAATCAACTGAGATATAAATACTCCGTATGCAGGTGATGAAGGTATATTGCTGCATAAGTAAGGGAGGTTGACGATAGAAAAGTTAAAGTCATCACGTTTATCATATAGCTTGGTTGTTAGATTACCATTAGTGTCTTTTTCAAGTAAAATATCCAAGTATGAAGCAGAAGTGTCGGACTCTGTGGTATCTTTTATCTCAAGCTCACCAGGATATATCGTGTCGACGTAGGAATGGAAATTATCATTATTAATTGACAATACGTCGTCGATATATCTAAATGTCGAGTTGAAGGCCACAGCAAGTGTTTTATTCTTTTCACGTAAAAGATTTTGCATAAATTCTGCTTCATATGAATATAAAAATAAGTCTGCTAATAACGGAGCGCAATTTGTACACATGGAAAGTCCAAAAGATTGTTGGAATTCCTGGTCTCCAAAAAACCACATAGATATTGGCAATCAGAAACTCAAGCATCTTCTTGATGTCAACTTCAGAGTACTTATGTGTGCAATCAGAATCTGTTTTAACAAAATAATTTTTCAAATGACCAATGACGAGGTAAGTAAACTTACGAGTTCCATTTTTGTTGAAGAAGCAGCTGTCAATGATATCAAAAAGCCTGGATTTTAATTTGTCGTGGGGAATTGTTGTGTATAAAGTTGAAAAGTCGTAAGTTTTATGCTGTTAATTTTTGTAAAGTCTTGTGATTTCAAATTGTCCAAAAGTTCTTTAGAATTTTTAAGTATCCACATCTGATTTACACCACTTCTTGAATATATAGTTGTACAGTACTCTTGTACGCATGTTTTAACCTCTTGGTACCCTGTCTGTGTTATGGTGTTTTGAATGCAATAGATTTCCATTCATTTTATATGCAAAAAATATATATGTAGTGTAAATATACTGTGTTACATTTAAGCAATGAATCATTATTTTTTGAGTGATATAGTTTCATAACTGCAACGGTATGTGCAAACAAATTGAATAAAGCGCTAACGCGCGTTATGAAAATTTGTTTGCACACACCGTTGCAGTTATGAGACTATATCACTCAAAAATAATGATTCATTGCTTATATTTACATTTTTAAAAACTTTCTACATAAACTGCAAATGTAATTCTATTTAATAACCTATGTATTATCCTTCTTGTAAGATACACTTAATGGATTAGCCAGCGTAACAGCTTCTTCTCAATTTGAACGTGATTTTTTTTATTTTCGCTTGTGACGTTGCACTTCCTCGGCGTTCAACGTTTATGACGTCAAACTAAAACGCATGTTTTAACCTCTTGGCACCCTGTCTGTGTTATGGTGTTTTAAATGCAATAGATTTCTATTCATTTTACATGCAAAAAATATACGTAATGTAAATATTAACATTTAGAGGCTAATGTATCAAAGTTGAATTAAATCAATAAATTCTTAATAATGTCCTAGAGTCAGATAATTCTTACTTAGAATTTTATTTCAAAATTGCTGATTTATAATTTCATTTAGTTTGAGGTGATGAAGGAAATTATATATGTATAAATATCAAATTTTGAAGAAAGTTAATTAAAAAAAAAACTCTGTACATCATAACATAACATGCTTTAAGGACAGATGATACAAACAATTTTTTTCTTTGAAAAAGATTAAATATCATGTCACAAGTTTAGAAAAGTGGATGGTTCTTAGATTTTTTTTCTCCGAAGAACTGGAATATGAAAAAAGACTTGGTAAATATTAGTAATATTTCAATGAAAACTCAAATATAGACAAATCACATTCAGTAAAGGTTTACAGCTGAAAATAAATTATAGAATATGTTTTCATGGCGCTAAAAGTGTAAAATAAACTTAAGAAAAATATACTGAGCCAGGTGAATTTTATTAGGAATAGCTAAATGGTTAAAATCAGCCAATGTGATATTGCCAGTTTTTTGTAATTTCGATCTTCCTCTTAAAATTCACCTGGCTTGGTATATTTTTCTAAGGTTTATATTACACTTTTAACGCCAGGATAACATATTCTGAAATTTATTTTCACCTGTAAACCTTTACTGAATGTGATTTCTTTATATTCGTTTTTTCATTGAAATATTACTAATATTTCCCAAGTCTTTTTCATATTCTAGTTCTTAGGAGAAAAAATTCTAAGAACCATCCACATTTCTAAACTTGTGACATGATTTAAAATCTTTTTCAAAGAAAACATTTGTTTGTATCATCTGTCCTTAATTAAATTAAAAACAGCACATTTTTCATTGTTATTTTTTAAATTGCAATTTCAAAATAAATGTTTATGACAATTCAATAAAATCGATACTTAAACAACAGTGAAATATAGAATGCGTAACAGTGAGCCAATCACTTTTCAGACATTGATTATGGTGCGATATATATATTTGGCTGTTGAAAGACGATTTAGCAGAATTTCACAGATTCACAAGAACGCAGCTATTTTCTTATAAAAGAAAAAAAAGAAAATGAGCAATCAGTGGGTTATCTCTTTAATCATTGGCTTCATAGCTTTATCCAAGGCTACCGATACTTTGAAAGAATTTACCGCGAAACTTGAATTTAATGATAAGAAATCAAATTATGGGCTTTTAGGAGAACATATTTCTCATACAATATCCAGGTGTGCCATGATGTGTAAAAGGGAGTGTGTATTATTTGGATTCAACAATCAAATGAAGAAATGCCGTACCCATAAGATAATATTTAAGACTGAGCTCTCTGATGAGGCCGGTTGGAGATACTACTCGGATAACGGTATGTATATTTGTTTTTTTTCTGCTTGCATCTTTCATTTGTTTTAAATCCCTCTCGAACAGACACATTTTTTTGACAATTCTTTTTATCTAATATAAACAATTGTACTTTCAACATAATTGATTTTAGTGACATACTCATCTCTTTCCTGATTTTCTTTTTTACTTTTTTTTATTTTGACTTTTAAGGAGAGATGTTACAGACTAACTTTTGTCAAAGAATTTAAAAATAACCACATTGGTCATGTTTAAATGAATACAATGAATAACTTTCACCGCGTAGTTTTTAATTTTTTTATTCAAATTTGCACAAAAATTGAATTTAAAGTGAAGAATGTTTTTATAGATTAATAAAGATTCAGAAGGGCAGACTTTTGAACATCACATAAGGTTTTCAATTTCTTTATATTCAATAAATTTATTATTTGCACTGAAATAAGGCCAAAAAATGTTTTCCAATTCAAGCATCCATTTTTTGTTTGTAGAATCTGTTCTAAATTTGAGACTGATTAAATTATACTTTGTGATTTTCTCTATTTCTATTTTCTCTTTTCTGGATATCTATTAGCAATTAATGTAAAACATAAGATGAAGATTCTACATCGTTAGTATTTAGTAATATTAATTTAAGCTTTATGACTACGATTAGTCCAAACCATTAGAACATAAAATCTTGTTGATGACTAAATAAACGACAAAATTTCACTTTCGCTAGTATCTCGAAATTGCAATCTTAAAAACAGCTGTTCTGAAAGCTGAGATGTGAATCCTGAAAACAGCTGGCCTGTGTCGTGAAGAAGTAAACATCCCCTGTCGATCGTTCAGACATTATATCATACATCAAAACGATTTCATGATTTACTACATATTTCATCAACTATATCAAGGTCATAATTCTTTATCACCTTATCTACATTTAATTTCTCTTTCACATTTCTTTCAGTCAACAGAGTATTGAAAATAATTGTGTTTAATTTAACTACTTTTAGTCATGTCATAAATCGAAGATTTGTACCAACTGGAAAACAAATATGATTTAAGATAATCGGGAACAGTTTAACATCACCTGCATTGTAGTTAACAATTTAGCCCCAACAATTAACGTTTATATATCATGCAGGTATTATATATCCTCTCACTTCTTGTACATATACATTGTATAATCCTGGTATTATATTTTTTTTCAGATTTTTCTAGTATGCCCAAAGATTGCAAGGATCTTCGAGAAAATGGACAAACCATCACAGGGTTGTATGATATATACCCCTACAGAACATTAACAGTACCGGTCAGTGTGTATTGCGATATGACGACAAGGGGCGGGGGGTGGACGGTAGGTTGTTTATTTTAGAATTAAAAGTACTTAATATAACACAAATTGTTTTTGTTGTTCTAAGGATTGTAGGATTGTATTGCAGTTTATATCATAACCAATGGATCCTATGAATGTTCGAAGCAATAAATTGAATTGTAATGCATATTAATTTTCAAAGGCCATTCAGAAACGCGTAGACGGATCCGTGAGTTTTGACAGGAACTGGGCGGATTATAAGAATGGTTTCGGTTCACCAGAACAGAATGTCTGGATTGGTAAGTGTAAATCACTTACAAATAAGAACTTTTTATTTCTTCAAAGTTTGAAGATAAAAACATTCTTTTTGTAGGTAAAAAATAATCGAGCGTAATAAAGATCTTAATTTAAGATTAGATAATGTGTGTTCTACGATATTCAGATAATGTGTTTAATTGATATCTCAAATAATTTTTTTTAATAGAAAAGAAGACTATCATCTAGCGGCATATTCTAATGAGACCAAATGTAGCATTATTGTGTACAGCTATGGAAAATAAGTTGATTTTTCATTACGGTAGATACATAAAGATTTTAAAAGAATTAATTTTATTCGATGATATCTAATATATTTTAATACAGGAAATGACGTAATCCATAAATTAACAAAAGAAAACACCTCATCCCTTTATGTATCCATCACTCTCCAGAATGGTACAACTCTGTATGAAATGTACGACCGATTTTCTGTCTCTGACGAAGCAGGGAAATATCAACTCTTTCTTGCAGGACCTGTCAATGGAACTTTAGGTAAGTGTATTCATGTTAAGTTCTTAAAATTGGATTCAAATTACGTATATCATAATAATTATTCTTTTCTGTATTGGCGGGTTATATAGTTGTTGAAAAAAAGAGAAAGTTGTGTTTTTTCCTGATATTCTGTATACGTTTTTGATTCCACGCTAATTAAACATGTTTAATATTTAAGAATAACATTTGCAGGTACAATTCTCATATTCAGCAGATATTGAATTTGTTATTGTCAAATAGATAAAATTTCTAATTATACATTTTATGTACAATGAAAATTATGTTGTTTTTTTAACACACAAATTCAATAATAACATTTTTTCAACAATGTTATTCAGCTTGGGTTTCCTGATAATTTTTGATAATTCACATTTTAGCTAATACGGAAAAAGTTTAAAGAGCATGATAGTCTGATTTTCAATGATTCACATTTTTTTTACTGCTACGGAATAGGAAGTTTACAGTGCGTCATTAATCTAAAAGTCTAAAGTTTTGCAAAAATTTGATGATAAAAAAATTTTGATTGGATAAATATTCAAATTAAAAAAGCTTAAAATGCATTCCAGAATAAAAAAGGAAAATCCAGGAGTACTTTTTCTAGCTTTCAGTCAAAATTAATGATGGAAATTGCTGAATTAGAGGAATAATTGTATATAGAATACTGGACATAACTAGTATAGGGTTCATAATAATTCGATTAACTATTTAGATGAGTAAGATTACTTGCAGGTCCATAGTTATATCAATTTACTGAATTATATGGACCTGATGATCATACCTGAATACTGATAAACACAATATAACAAAAATGAACATTTCAATATCTTTGTTACAAATTATACATAGGGGAACATTCCTCTATCATACCTGAATACTGATAAACACAATATAACAAAAATGAACATTTCAATATCTTTGTTACAAATTATACATAGGGGAACATTCCTCTATCATTCCTGAATACTGATAAACACAATATAACATAACAAAAATGAACATTTCAATATCTTTGTTACAAATTATACATAGGGGAACATTCCTCTATCATCCCTGAATACTGATAAACACAATATATCAAAAATGAACATTTCAATATCTTTGTTACAAATTATACATAGGGGAACATTCCTCTATCATACCTGAATACTGATAAACACAATATAACAAAAATGAGCATTTCAATATCTTTGTTACAAATTATACATAGGGGAACATTCCTCTATCATACCTGAATACTGATAAACACAATATAACAAAAATGAACATTTCAATATCTTTGTTACAAATTATACATAGGGGAACATTCCTCTATCATACCTGATTACTGATAAACACAATATAACAAAAATGAACATTTCAATATCTTTGTTACAAATTATACATAGGGGAACATTCCTCTATCATACCTGAATACTGATAAACACAATATAACAAAAATGAACATTTCAATATCTTTGTTTCAAATTATACATAGGGGAACATTCCTCTATCATATCTGAATACTGATAAACACAATATAACAAAAATGAGCATTTCAATATCTTTGTTACAAATTATACATAGGGGAACATTCCTCTATCATACCTCAATACTGATAAACACAATATAACAAAAATGAACATTTCAATATCTTTGTTACAAATTATACATAGGGGAACATTCCTCTATCATCCCTGAATACTGATAAACACAATATAACAAAAATGAACATTTCAATATCTTTGTTACAAATTATACATAGGGGAACATTCCTCTATCATCCCTGAATACTGATAAACACATTATAACAAACATGAACATTTCAATAATGATATGCATGCTTGTGACAATTTGTATATGTAATCTTCGTCAAAATTTCATTTAAATTAATGTTTGTCAATGCAGTCAGAAAAAGCTTTCATGTTTCAATGCAAATATAGGCTAATGAAACTGTTCGACGAATCATTTTCCTTGCCAATATTTTTTCTATCTCCTTGCTTGGTTTTTCTTTCCTTTCTTCTTAGGTTTTGCTTTTGAAAGGATTATCTGAATTTACACAAATGCAAAAAATGTTACACATAGCTGAAAAGAAATATGTACGAAATAAAGATGATGAAAACAGTTATCGATGGGAAGAATTAAAAGTGAAAAAAAAAATACTATGTGAACAGTCAGCACTTAATAACATGAACCTCATAAAATTCAGAAGTGGGATCAAGTGCTAGGAGAAAAGAAATAAGTA